ACCTATATCTTGAAATATGAGAAACTACTTTGGCAATAACAATACACAATGTACTAACCATTGTTACTCTCCTAAAATCTTGTTTTGAGATTTTGTACCACTGTTTTTATTTTTTTTTTCTTTCTTTAAAATAAAAATAACTGATGTCAATAAATAAAAAAAATTTTAAAAAAAGGAAATAAATGACAGTTTACTACAGTGACAAAAAAAAAAAAAAACAAAGATTTATCTCCCACAGTTCAAAGGGAAGTCCAAGAGCAGCATCCCAGCATGAGCCAGCTCTGGTTAGGGTCCTCCTCCTGGCTCACAGATTTCTGAGGCCATCTTTGCATCGCATCCATACTTGGCACAGAGCAAAAGCAGCTTTCTCATGTCTCTTCCCATAAGGACTCCACCTTTCCAACCTGACCACTGCTCAAAGAGCCCCGCTCCTAAGCCCATCACCCTGGGGGTAGTTTTCAACATATGAATTGTGGTATACACTTTTAGCCTCATTACACTGAATATTATATTATATGGATGTACTACATTTTGTTATTCATTCATTTGTTTTTTTTCTGTATTTAGGGCAGGGTCTACAGAGTGTTTAGGGTCTCACTATGTAGCTGGGACTCCTAGTGATTCTCCTGTTTATAGCCTCCCGAGTGCTGGGATTACAGGCATTTACCACCATGCCCAATCTCAATCTCAGTTCAACGTGCCCCAGAGGCTGGGCCAGCATGTAATGCTTAGGATCAAGAATCAAACCCTGGCCACTGCACTCTGCCTAAGCAGGCGCTCTATTTCACTGAGCTATCAGGCCAGCCCTTATTCATTTGTTGATAGACATTGGAATTTCCTTTTTCTTTTCCTTTTTATTTTTGGTTGGAGTGGTACTAGGAACTGAATTTGAAACCAGCACCTTCACACTGAGCTACATCCCTGGCACATTTTTACTTTTTGAGACCAGGTCTCCATAAGTCATTAAGTTGCTCAGCCTGGTCTCAAACTTGACATTCTCCAGCTTCCGCCTCCCAGAGTGTTAGGATTACAGGAGCATGTCACCATGCACAGCAGAAATGTTTTTAATTATCTTGAGAATATACCTACAAAGGCTATGTCATATGGCAAATCTTATACTTAACTATTTGAGAAATTACCAAACGGTTTGTAATGCAGCTGCACAGTTTTGCTGAGAGTTCCAATTTATCCACATCCTCTCCAACACTTATTATGTCTCTGATTACAGCCAGCCTCATGGATGTGATTTGCATGTCCCTGGTGGCTATCTCTTCCCGTGAGCCAGTTACTGATTTGTCTATATGTTATTCTGCATTCTTACTGAACAAGCGGATGAGTACAGCAGTCTACATTTCCTCTCCCCGAGTGCTTTGCATTCAAATAAGCTTGAAAATGTCATTTTGTTCCTCCTAGTTAGAGAAAGAAATGAAACTAAATTAGTTTGGCATCCACCATGACAATGGCACTCCATCCTCTGAAGCCTCGTATCAAATCTGGGAGGGACATGACATGGTAGAGTCTGGATTTTGGAAATAAGAAAACTATGCTTGGCTGTCCATGGTGGTGCACATCTGCCATTCTGGCACTAAAAGAAGATGAGACAGGAGGATAGCAGGTCAAGCCCTACCAGGGGAAACATTGAGATCCTGTCTCAACACTTAAAAAGCTGCCAGGCATGGTAGGGCACACCTGTAAACCCAGCACTTGAGAGGCTGAAGCAGTAGGATTGCCATGAGTGCAAGTCCAGCCTGGGCTGCATAGTGAGACCCTATCTCAAAAACAAAGCAAAATAGGGCTGGAGAGATGGCTCAGTGGTCTAAAGCACCTACTTAGAACAAGCTTGGCAAAGCACAGGGACCTCGGTTCGATCCCCCAGCACCACATGCCAGCCAGCCCGCCCCCTGGTGGGCTGAGCTGGCCACACACACACACTAAAAAACACTAAAAAAAAAAAAAAAAAAAAAAAAAAAAAAAAACAAAGCAAAATAAAACACTGGAGCCTGGGGTGTGATTCAGTGGCAGAACGCTTGCCTTGCATGTACAGGGCCCTGGGTTCAATCCCCAGCACCACAAAAACAGTAACAAGGGGGGCCAGGGAGATAGTTCAGTAGAATAAGTGCTTGCCTGGCAAGTTCAGGGGCCTGAGTTCAATCCCTGGTACAACCAAAATAAAACCTTAAAATTTTGAAAAAGGGTAGGAATGTATCTCCATGTGAAGGCCCTAGGTTCAACTGTCAGTACCATGAACAGTACAACAAAACAAAAACCCATGGTTAGACATTTAATTATCTGCTGGCAAGTGGTCAGTTGAAACTCATCCCCCAAGTCTATTGACTATTTTTCTTTGTGATTAGCCCACATAGGTCTTGATGGCAACAAAGTAGGCATGGATGGTCTTGACTTTGGTGTGGCAACTCCCATGCTATGGCTTGGACATGGCTTGTCCCCAAGGGGCCTATGTGGGAGGCTGGGTCTCAAAGGTAATATTCCTGATTAGAGGTAGAGTGATTAAGAGGCTGTACCTCCTGGAGGTCATCGGGTCATAAAAGGATCCTTTAGGCATCCTGTTCTTTGAGATGGCAACCATGGGCCTAGAGACATTGTGATCAGAGAACTCTCCAGAGGGGCTGGAGGGAGGTCTTAGTCTGTTCCAGCTGTTACGACTAAATGTCACAGACTATTGGTTTGAAGGAAGACACTCACTTCTCACTTCTGCTGCTGGCAATTCCAAGGTCAAGGGGCTGGCAGATTCGGGGCCCCAATGAGGGCCTTCTCCTGGCTCGTGGAGGTCTTCCTTCTGCTGGGTCATCACACTGCAGAGAGGGTGAGCAAGCAGGGTCTCTCCCTCCACCTGGAAGGACACCAATCTCATCCTCAGGACCTCACCCCAGAGCCCCCTAGGCCCCATCTCCAAGCACCTTCACATTGAGGGTCAGGGCTTCAACACATGGATTAGAGGATACAAACTTTTGGTTCACAATGGAGAGTAAACACCTATAAATTGGGAAACAGAGTGGGAAGAGGACAGAGGAGCCCTATCCTCAAAAAAAGAGGGGGGGAGGAGGAAGGAAGGGAGAAAGGGAGAGAAGGATAGAGGGACAGAAGAAGAGGGGGGAGGAAGGGAAAGAGGGAGGGAGAGACTAACTTTCCAAAACCAAGTCAGAAAGGAAGCCTGGGGCCATAGAGCTCTACATAGCAAGACCTCAGCACATTTATTATATCCTTAACTTTCTTACCATACCATGATAAAATGAGCACATGCTATTTGAATGTGGTTTGTTCCACAAGGGCCCATGCACTGGGTAACAGGGTAACAGCAGTTGGAGGAGGTGGAACTCTCAAGAAATAGAACACAGTGTGTGTGTGGGGGAGAGGGTCCTTTGAGTCGCCTGGGGTTCTGATCTCAGAAGGGATTAAAGTAGCGTTTATGAGAGGATTGTTATAAAAAACTGAGACTGAACTGGTTGTGGTGGTGCACGACTATACTCCAGCACTCAGGATGCTGAGGCAGGAGGATTACTGTGTGTTCAAGGCCAGCCTGAACTACATCGTGAGACATGTCTTAAAAAACTAAAAAAACTAAGGTTGGTGCTGGAAGCTTGGACTAAAGGAAGAGCAGGCTACATCCCAAAATGAGCAGAGAGAGAAAAAAAAAAAAAAAAGGCTCAAGATGGGGTGGGGGTGGGGTGGTCCATGAGGCAAGAGGATCACAAGTTCAGGCCTAGCCTGGACAACTTAGTGAAATCCTGTTTCGAAATAAGAAATTTACGAAAGGAGTGAGGATATAGTTCAGTGTGAAAGCCCAGGGTTCAACTTCCCGAACTCCTGAAAGAAGGAGGAGGAGAGGCTGCTCCCGGGGGAGCCCGGGGCCCCAAGGAGCCAGACTGTCTGTGCAGCCTGGGAAGCCTCCAGAAAAAGCATACAGGGCTTCAACTTCCCCAGGCAGCCAGAGCAGAAGCGCTGAATGGTCCCCTGTCACCACTGCCTAAAACAGTTTCATTTTCCCTCTGAATCCTCCCCATAATTTGCTGTTCAAATTGGTACAAAAACACCCACTTAATAGCAAATCCAATTAATGTGGATTTTCTCTGTTTGTCATCTTAAGGAGCTGGGGTTTTGCTTACAATGAACTTAAAATGAATTACTTTCAAGCAGCAAAACAAAACCCAGCTCTTAGTTTCTTATTCTCAGGCTGCTTCCCCATTTCATTTGTTGTAAACAGTTGGGTTGTGGTGATAAGATTCTTTCTTTGACTCAAAATCAAAGAGCAGGGAAAGCTGGGGCTGGGACTCAGGGAGGCAGGGCTGAGCAAGGGCCCAGTCACTGAGAGAAGGAGCCCCACCTGGATGGTGCATGCAGGGGTCCATCAGGGCCACTATGGCTCCTGAGCAAGGTGGGTGACAACTCCAGATTCCTTGTGTGTCTGTGCATACAGGGCAGAAAGGAGCGTTTGGGCTTAGCTATGACCAGGTAGGATGTGGGTGCCTGAGCCTGCTCACCAGAAGGACAAGTGATGCCCAGTGCCGAGCTGCCTGCCCCAGTAGGGAAGGGCACCTGCACCTCTCCAGGATGCCGCTAGACCGAGACACTTATCTTGCAAACCTCAAATCCTGGCATGGACCTGGCCAGCATAATGTAGCTCCTCCAGGAACCTCTGTGAGCCAGTTAGCCAAGGCTTAAAAGGCTCCTGAGAGGTAAGGCCCACAGGAGCCACCAGAAGTACTCTGAGAGCCGGTGGGTGTCAGGAGTCACTTAAAGCACAGGACCTCTCTTAGCTCCTGAGAACCATCTTGATACCAACCCTGGAGCACATGATCATGATAGCCGAAGGGCCAGCTTACTTCCCAGACCTGTGGGTGTTTGAGATCAAGTACTGTCTCACTCATCTGGTTTTCTGCAGAATCTGGCACACAGTCACAATGAAATAGAGACATCCTCTGGAAAACCAAAATCACCCCTGCCAACTGTGTCGCCTGCCCTAATCACTTGCAGGAAATGAGTGTGTCTCCCCAGTTTTATGAGCCCCATGGAGCCTACTTCAATGTCTGAGTGGACAGGAAGCATCATTATTAATATGTGGCTGTTCTTTATGAAGCCAAAGCACCTGAGAGCATCCAACTCTAGCCAGCCTAAAATTCCTCCTCCTCCTCCTCTGCTTCCTCCTCCTCCTCCTTCTCCTCTTCCTCCTCTTCCTCCTTTCCCTCCCCCTCCTTTTCCCTCTCCCCCTCCCCCTCTTCCTGGTCCTCTTCTACCTACCAACACACTGCCCACCTAATTTCTTTTGCAGGACAGTTTTAAAAGAGCACACTCTGCTTTTACATCTAAGAGTATCATCTAGGGTGGAGAAGGAATACCCTGCCCAGCCCATTTCCAGAGAATTTCACAGGCCTTGGATGAAGGCATTCACTTCCTGCCTGTGACTGTAAGATGCATTATGTCACTGGGAAAATGAGTTCCAAATCCTATTTTGGGGGAAAGAGGCAGTGTTGGAGGCAGTGAGGAGGAGGCCAAATCCAGTCCGGATCTGGACAGTGTTCAAGGGCTTCTCAGTGTAGCCGCCGTTCCAGGGGGACAGATGCTTCCACAGACGCCCCAGGCCTCAGGCATCTGCCATCACTTCCGGAGGCCCCCAGTGGCTTTGGAGAGGGGACAGCACAGAACGTTCTCAGGGATCATCCCCAATGTGATGAGCTGCCTCCTCTCATCACCAGAGCCAAGGCCAAGCTTTAAACCTGAGCATATATCTTGGGGAGTGTGCGGAAGGTATCCACTCGCCTATCCTGCAAAGTCCCTGCTGCAGCAGCTATCGGCAGAGACGCAGGAGCTTGGAGGCGAAGCCCCTGCTGACCCTGAACAGGGACCCAGCACTTAAAAGAGTTAATCCCCGGAGGAGGTGAAACTGTCCCCAGTATATCTAGATGAGGCTAAGCCACTGTTGTCCAGGAGAGCTTGCTGCTATGATAGGAATCTGCACTCTCTACCTGCACCCCTACTGTACCATCGCCACCAGCTGCAAGCAGCTATTGAGTATTCAAAATGTGGCGAATGTGAGAGAGGAACTAAATTTTATTTTTTATTATTCGTTCGTCTGTTTTTTGTTTTGTTTTGCAGTATTGAAGATGGAGTCCAGGGCCTTTGCACTAAGTTATACCCTAGCCCTTTTTACTTTTTTTCTTTTTCTTTTTCTTTTTTGCAGTATCAGGGATTGAACTCAGGACCCTGCGCTTGCTTTTTAATTTTTAAAAAATCTTTTATTTATTTGGTATAGGGTCTCGCTACACAGCTTCGACTCATGATCCTCCTGTCTCAGCCTCCCTAGCACTGGGATTACAGATGTGTGCCACCACACCTGGTTCTAGTGGCCAGCATGACGTGCCTGGGGTCCTAGGACCAGTGTGACATATGGTACTGGGGGTCCTTATACTTGCCAAGCAGGCACTAAGCCTCCTTCCCTACTCCTCTTTTTTCTTTTTTTAAATTTATGTTCTTAAAGATTTATTTTTTTTTTTTAATTTTAGTACAGGGTCTACAGGGTCTCACTACATAGATCGGACTCCTAGTGATTCTCCTGTTTCCAGCCTCCCAAGTGCTGGGGTTACAGGTGCTCCCCACCACGCCCAGGCTCAATTGCCTTCTCAGCACGCCCTGGGGACAGACTGGCACCGCACGCAGGGGACTGAACCCCTGCCACTGCACTCTGCCTAATCAGGCACTTTAGTCTGCCTAGCGATCTGGCCAGCCCAAGACTTTTGACTCTTGTTAATTTGCTAAATTACCCTGGCTAAAGAGCCAGCCAAATAGCTCAGCAGATTAAAGTGCCTGCTGAATTTTAAATTTTCATGTAATTTACATGCAAATTGTTTTAGTCAGTAAGTATATATAGCTTTTACTTGTCAATTTAAAAAAATTAACATAAAATTTAAACAGTCCCATGGGTTTAAAAGCTAGTATAGTAGCCAATATGAACTTTTAAGACGTCAGGCCCATGATGGCAGATGAAATGTTCTTATGGTATTCTTCTCAATTTCTCTGTTTAATAAAACTCTCTTGGTAGGGGATGGCGGTGCTGGCCTGTAATCCCAGCACTTGGGATGCTGAGGCAGGAGGATCACTGAGTTTGAACTCAGCCTGATCTACATAGTGAGGGCCAGGGGTTCAATCTCTGGGCCTGCTGTGCCGGCCCTGCCCCCGAGGCAGGCTGAGATGGCATAGTGGCGCACGCCTATAAATCCAGCTCTTGGGAGGCTATAAACAGGCGGATCACCACGAGCCCGATCTAGTAGTGAGACCTTGAACACTCTGTAGACCCTTCCCTAAAATACAAAAAATAAATAAAAATTAAATACCATAAAACTATCTTAACTGAGCAGTCAACATGGAGAAAGCCATGAGAATTAAAATATAAGGATTATATGAAGGTGGGGGACATGTCTCAGTGGTACTGAGCCTAGCGTGTGCCCAACTCTGAATTCAACCCCTGGGACAAGAAAGAAAGAAAGAGAGAGGGAGGGAGGGAGGGAGGGAGGGAGGAAGGAAGGAAGGAAGGAAGGAAGGAAGGAAGGAAGGAAGGAAGGACGGACGGACATGAGCTTTAAACATTAGGGTCACCACAGGTCACCAGCCTATCACATATTTTACAAAGAAGTAGAAAAGCGAAGCTTGAAGTTTCCAAACATAAAATGATAAAGGATTGGAAATGTGGACACAAGATAGAAGTTTGATAGTGTAACAACGCTGTGTGTGCGTGCGTGTGTGTGTGTGTGTGTGTGTGTGTGTGTGTAGTACCTTCACACTGAGCTATATCCCCAGCCCTCTTTTTATTTTTTATTGTGAGGTAGGGTCTTCCTAAGTTGCTAGGTTGCTCAGGCTGGGTTTCAACTCGCAATCCTCTTACCTCAGCCTCTCAGAGGGCTGGGATTATATAACAGCAAGATATGAGTTCTATAAAAACTCATACCAGGTTTTGTTACCTTAAAAATATCTGAGAGTGATTTGTTCACAACAGAAATATCTACTGAAGACAAAGCCCGGAGTTTACTCAAACATGCTGCTTTATTATAATAAAGTCCCACATGGTACTCAAAACATCTCTGAGGCATGCAATAGCTTGCAAGAAATTTATATATGCTCTACTACCTCCATGTATTTAAAAATTTTCCCTGATAGATCTCCCATAAAAATGCATCAGAAAGGGCAACCATTCACCAATGTTATAGAACAGCAGCAGTTCCCAGGCTTGTAATAGATTCCTATACTTTAACAATATTTTGTTATAAGCCACAAAATAAATGTAAAATTGTGACTTCTGTAGTGAAAAATCAATTTGTTCTCTGCCAGATTTTCCTTAGCAATTCTCCAGGTGACTCTCATGAAAAGAGGGGGTGCAGGAGGGGCTCACCATGACCCCCCTGAACCCACAAAGGCAAACCATCCTATAAGGACCTATGTCAGCTGAGGCCCACAGCACTGAGAAGCTGTGCACCTCCTTGAGCAGAAGGGAAAATGCTAGCAAACTAACTCTAAACACTACTGCTCTTGTGCATGTGGTCTAAATTTGTCTTACTTAAAGTCATTCAAAATTCTGTTTAAAGAGCTGGGAGTGGCCAGGCGTGGTAGCTCAAACCTGTGATCCCAGCCAGCACTTGGGAGGCTGAAGTAGGAGAGTTACTATGAGTTTGAGGCTAGCCTGAATGACATAAGCAAGTGCAAGGTCAGCCTGCACTATATAGTAAGACCCTGGCTAAATAAAATAAAATAAAATGGTTGTGGTGGTACATGCCTGTAATCCCAGTACTCTGGGAGGCTGAAGCAGGAAGATTATAAATTCAAGTCCAGCTAGGGAATTTAGCAACTTAGTGGGACCTTGTCTGAAAAATACAAAAGAGTCTGGCATGTAGTTCTGACTGTGGGTACAATTCCCAGTACTGCAAAATAAATAAATACAATGGATTGGGGTACTCGGTGATGGAACACTGCTCAGCATACACAAGGCCCTGGGCCTGATCCCCAGCACTGAAAATCATAATGATAATGTAAAAATAAAAACAAGAAAGTTCACATTTTATCTTTTTCAAACCCAGGTGTCTTTTTGATTTAAATCACCAGATACTATATAAAAGTTGGGACTTTTTTTTTTTTGCATTTTAGGGAAGGGTCTACAGGGTGTTCAGGGTCTCACCACTAGATCCAACTACTAGATCACTATGTGTTACACCTGTTTACAGCCTCCCAAGAGCTGGAATTACAGGCATGCTACCACGCCCAGTCTCAATTGCTGTCTCAGCACGCTGGGGGTGAGTGGGGGCGGCACCGCAGGCCAAGGGATGAAACCCCTGGCTGCTGTGCCTGCTTGCAGGCACTTTAATCCGCTGAGCTATTTGGCCGGCCCTATAACTTTTTTTTTTTTTTTTTTGTCTGAGACAGGATCAGGCTGGCCTTGAACTGATCCTCCTGCCTCAGCCTCCCAAGTACTGGGATAACAGGCATGTACCACCATATCCAGCCAAGAGTTATGATCTTGCAAGGTTTTCCACTTTATATTCACTGAGGTTAAGATTACACTGGTGTAGATTAAGTCCAACATGTTTACATTTATTTTGCTTAAGAACTTGAATATACCAAAATAGCCAAAAAAAAACCTTAAGGGTTTCCAGAAGATGCAACTTCCCTATGTAAGCACGTTGCGCCCTCTTGTGGCAAATGTGAGCTTCGCATGCACAGACACAGCTACTCTCCAGCCCCAAATTAAGCAGTTACAGACATCCTCTCCATGCACGCCGTCAGTCCCACAGTAGCACCCTACCCGCTAGGCCCTGCTTCTGATTCACCTTCATAGGGAAGTGAGACTGCTCCATTGAAAGGAAATTTTCTTAGGCTAATAAAAGTCACTTCATCAAGTGATTTTTAGGCCTTCTCAAACACATGTAACTCCATCTGTCAGTTTAAAACACAACATAGGCCTGGGGATACAGCTCAGCGGTGCAGCACCTGCCTAGCAAGGATGAAGTCCTGAGTTCGATTTCGAGTACATAAATAAATAAATAACACAACATGCAACTGAGTACCTAAATGTGTGCAATCCCAGAACTCTGGAAGGCTGAGGCAAGAGACTCTCACCAACCTGGGTAAAACAGCTACTTAGTGAGACCCTGTCTCAAAATAAAAAATAGCAAAGGCTAGAGATGTAGCTCCTTGAGACAACCTCTGCTTCACTCCTTAGTACCAGAAAGCAAAACAACAGCCGGGTATGGTAGCGCACGCCTGGAGGCCCAGCACTCAGGAGGCTGAGGCGAGAAGATCCCCCAAGAGTTTGTGGCCAGCCTAGGCTGCATAGTGAGTTCAAGGCCAACCAGATCTACACAGCAAGACCCTGTCTCATGCACAAATGTTCCCATAGCTTCAAAAATAAACATTACATTTTTTAAAAAAAGTTTCTTTAGTCATGTGAGTATCTGACTGCATCCACACACTCAGACTATGGGACAGGTTACGTGTTTTGCCCACTGAGAGAGGAAGGGACGGCGACCACAGGATTTAAACCCTGGGCAGGTGCCGTAGTCGCCATCACTCTCATTTACAACAAATCTGGCGGTTTCATGCTTTTTTCTGAATTCTTTTGCCTCCCAACAAATCAAAACCAAAGCCACCATCTACTACAAGGCCAAGGAGCAAAGTGCCAGAGTCACCTGTAATGGAGGTCAGCTCGGAAAGGTGAATCCGACCTTCTCCCACTTCTTTGGTTGAAAGACTCGCTCAGTCTGCTTCTGACAGGAAGCTGACAGAAAAACAGAAGTCAGTTTTGGTATAATATTCACCACATAAATGAAGCAAATCTTATTTTAAAAAAAAAGGAAGAGCGACCTGGGCATGGTGATCCACACCTGTAATCTCAGCACTCTGGCAGGCAGAGGCAGGAGGACAGAGTTCAAGCCCAGCCTGGGCCACTTAACTTATCAAGACCCTGACTCAGAATAAAATTACAGAGTGCTAGGGATTTAGGTGAGTGTGAAGGGCCTTGGTCCAATCCCCAGGGTGACTGAAAAAGGAGCTGGGGTCCAAGTTTGACCTCCCAGAACCTTTCTATAGTCTGACAGATTCAAAGAATAGGAGAAAGACAAAAATATAGGATATACTCAATTCAAATCTACAGTATTTACTTGGAATCAAAGGAAGACACCTAGTTAAGAATCTTTCACACAGCAGAAGCTGGAATTCCACATGTACCAATTTTTATGTGTGTGTGGCACTAGGGATTGAACTCAGGGTATCCTACATACCGAGCAAGAGCTCTCCAACTGAGTTACATCCCCGGACACTTTACTTTGATATGGGGTCTTGTTAAGTCACTAAGATGCCTAGACAGCGCTCAAACTTGGTGATCCTCCTGCCTCAGCCTCTCAACTAAGGATCACAGGTATCTTTTAACCAGGCCTGGCTATTATTTGTCTCTTTTTTTCTATGTATTTGGTACAAGCTCTCATTAAATATCTCAGACTGTAGTGATCCTCCTGTTTTCAGCCTCCCCAGCACTGGGATTACAAGTGTGCACCACCATGCCCGGTTACAGCGGCCAGCACAGCATGCCCAGGAATCTGGGGCCAGCACAACATACAGTGCTGGGGATCAAACTAGGGTCTTGTACTTGCCAGACAGGCACTTAGACTACTGAGCTATCTCCCCAGAGTATTTTTTTCTTTCTTCCTTTCCCTTTCCCCTTCCTTTTCCTCTTATCCTTTTTCTTCTTGGTATGTATTCAAGGCTGGACTTGAACTATGTAGCCTAGAATGGCCTCTAATTCATGGCAGTCCTCTTGCCTCAGCCTCCCACTGGGATTACAGGTGGGCACCACCACACCTGGCTTATTTATTTTCTGATTGCTGAGCAAACAACGGGCAGACAGGAAAATGGAAAACAAGTCAAGTCCACTCCCCCTCAACAAACTGAATGCAATATATAGTTAATAGGAGAATTCCATTCTCCCAGTACTGTGACCAGAAACCTTTCACAGTTATGTGCCAAATATTGAGGGGAATACTGAGACTTGAATCCAAGCCTTTTGCCTTCTATGCACGTACCCTTTTGGTTAGCTACATCATAAAAATAAAAAAACAATGTGCTAAAATAACTACAATCTACTCAAAAACTATCAGCTACAGGAATGGCATACACCTACAATTCCAGTACTTTGTAAGGCTGAGGCAGGAGGATTGTGGCTAAGTCCAAGCCCTGCCTTAGCAAGTGCTTAGTGAGATCCTGCCTTAAACTAAAAAGATTCAGGGTGCAGGCTCAGTGCAAAAGTCCTGGATTCAATTTCCAGTACTAAAAAGAAAGTCTTCCTGTGTTCCAAGAAAGCAATATTATTATTTCAGAAAAAGGCATTGTCTTTCTAGTGTAAGAAACTGCTAGGGTAAATAAGAACTGAAATATATGAAATAGATATTGTGAAATAGGAAGCAAACTGGGAGAGGGGGTGGAAGGAAAAAAATGAAAAAGGACAAAATAGAAACAAAGCTTTGTAAATAAGAAGGGTAACCTGCAAGCAGGTGCAGGGGCCAGGGGTTCAATCCCCAGGCCTGCCGTGCTGGCCCCACCCCCAGGGCGCGCTGAGATGGCAACTGAGACTGGGCATGGTGGTGCGCACCCAGCTCCTGGGAGGCTGTAAACAGTTGGATCACTAGAATGTGATCTAGTAGTAAGACCTTGAACACCCAGTAGACCCTTCCCTAAAAATAAAGGGGAGGGGGAGGGTAATGGGTTGGAGAGGGAAGGAGAGTGAGGAAAAAAAGATCTAAGATTTATCATAGGGCCAGCTAGATAGCTCAGGGGACTAAAGCGCCTACTTAGGCAGAGTGCAGCAGCTGGGGTTCAACCTCTGCGTGCCCCTGGCGCACGCTGAGACTGCAATTGAGACTGAGCCTGGTGGCGAGTGCCTGTAATACTAGCGCTTGGGAGGCTGAAAAGAGAATCACGACAAAGTCCAATCTACACAGTGAGACTCTGTAAAACCCTGTACCAAATACATTAAAAAAAAAAATTTACTATGTACAGATACAAGTTCCCTATGATGAATGTGATCATTATGTATATCTAAATTGTACCAAGAAACTCAAAAACAGGCCAAGTTGATCTTAAGTTTATCTTTTGTAAGATTTTTTTCATTTATGTTTTTGGTACAGGGCCTCACTATACAGCTGGGATTCCTACTGATCCTCCTGTTTTCAGCCTCACCAGCGCTGGGATTACAGGTATGTGCCACCACGCTCGGACGCCTTCTCTGGCTTAGAGCACCCCAGGGGCAGGGCCCACGTGGCACAGGGGACCAGGAATGGAGCCCTACTCTCTGCATTTGCCAAAGCAGGCACTTAGTCTGCTGAGCTATCTCACCAGCCCTGTAAGGAAGTTTTTCATACAAATACTATGTAGCTCTCAATGAAGAGTGAAGATTTGAAGAGTAAAGGGAAAACAGATGCCTCTTTAATTGATTGCACCAGGGTTTTTTTTCCCAGTACTGGGAATTGAACCCAAGGACTTCAGACTGAACTACAAACCAGGCCTTTTATTTTTTTGAAATAAGGTCTTGCTAAATTGAGGCTGGGTTTGAACTTGGAATCCTCTTGCTGCCACAGCCTACCATAACACTGGTATTACACACATGCAACACTACATTTGGCATCAAGTTGTAAAAAGAGAAAAAAGGAGGAGAGAGGATTTGGAAACAAGGTGGCAAAAAACAATTTGCAAGCAAAAGGGAGTCAAACACAAACATCCATTAAACTCACATGTAAGAGCTAGATCTTAGGTTCTCAGTGTTTTGCTGTAATCAGACACTCAATGGTTGTGGTACTTGGCATGTAGCAAAGCATCCAACTCTGCATTCATAAATACACAGCTACCTTTTTTTCTGCTCAGAAAGTTTAAAAAGATCTTACTGGGCTGGTGAGATGGCTCAGTGGTCTAAAGCACCTACTTAGAACAAGCT